AGGTGTGTGTGTGTGTGTGTGTGTGTGTGTGTGTGTGTGTGTGATTATACGTTTGGGCAAAGGAGATCCAGTCCTTCTAAAGGTAGCATAACCCGCTTCAACATAATGATATCATGCTCATGGGTACTTTTCAAAAGCTAATATAATACGAGATTATCAACCCTGATACATGCATCAGTTTCGAGTTCTGTCCGAACGTCTCCCTGTCTTCTTGTTTTTACCTTAAATAGAGGACAAGAGTCTTGTATCTTCGCAAGTACTAAACTTGTAGCACTGCAAAATCCAAAACCAGTATAATAAGACATTAGTTTTAATCTTCGTCGCTTCGAACTCTACAGCAGTGGGAAAAGTCACATAAGAAGTTACATTCGTAGAACCCGCATAATAATATAACAAGGTAAGTATCAACTCATGCTAATTAGGACCTGAATTACATGATTTTAACGTGAACTTCATGTTGAGACAGTAAGGCACTCGCGGGACTGGTATGGGCTTTCAAGAAGTATGCAATATTCACAGCTGAAGCTAAATCTGTGCGAAGGCGAGAATTCGGAACAAATGATTTCGCTCGTGCTAATTACGAATTTGACAATTCTCATTTTGGCATTTTAGGTTTTCCAGGACATTTTAAAAAATAATTCTAGACATAACCCTGTACATCTGGATTCACATTAATCATGACAGCAGTTGTTTACAAGATACATGTCCAAGGCCTACTTCCGCTTAATGCTTAAAATTAAAATTGGCAGAAGAATGCAAATCCCACCAGTACATTTTTTTTTCTTTAAATAAATAGATAGGCCTAAATAAAAATAAAAAATTAACATTTTAACATTTTCAAATTTTAAATGAATGAACGAATGAATGAATGAATGAATGGATGAACGAATTAATTAATTAATAGATAATAAGAACATGATAGGCCTATGGTTGATAACAGCCCACCAATCAACATTAATTGCTAATACCCAGTGCCCATTGGCACGATCGGTTCGGTTCCGTTCGGTTCGCCAGATCGAGGGCGCAAAGTGACCATCGTGACACAAACCGACCACCCGACTCGTAGTCTCAAAAACAAACGCGTTCGTTTCCAGGCCACGAAGCGGGCGATCGGTTGGTGATCGGTTTGTCGATTCCCATGTGAATGGGCACTGGGTATAAGGCAAACAAGTAGCCTATGGCCTCCTAATCCTATATCGTATTTTGTAAGCTTGCCTGCAGCTTAAATGGTATTCAAACGCAGTGCGCCACTAGCACATGCCATGCCGAATCGTTTTGTAAGGGTGCAACAACATTTCAATAATCTCTGATAGGAAAGAATGGCTCCTTTGGGGTCAACACTGGAGTCACATCGACTGTAACGGTTTCGTAATAGACGAGGGGGACAGAAGTACCTAATTACGCACTGCACATATTGCTGGAGGGCCAGTCCCCCTTTTCTTTAAGTACGGCCACCTGAAGATATCTTCTGTTTGATCTATCAGATAGCATACATTTATTCATGGGCTGGAGTAACCATTAACCATTTCACGATGATTATAAACACTTCTATAATCAACGTGAAATGGAAGGGACACACCAGCTTTATTGGCTGAGCCTTTCGTGGGGAAGAGTGCAAAAGTGGTATATATCATTCTAACGGTTTATACAATGATTAATTATATTGCTTAAGACTAAGACCATCCTCCCTTCTTCGCAAGTTGTTGGAACTTGACCCACCGCATCATAAGCAAGAGAACTATAGTCGAACCAGCTCCAACAGCCACATGTCAAAGGCAACCATTTGTACAAACATCACTTTCCACCCCACCCTCCCCATCCCCCTTACGTTTTCTTTGTTTATATCATAACGCCACTGCCCAAGATGTCCACCTGTGAAGGACAACTGCTTTTCTCTTCGACAATTACGGGCCGTCTTCGACAATTTCGACTTTACCTCGAGTATTGCAATGACACATTCGTCAATTCTCGAGTAGGGACACGAATGGACATTTCTTTCAACAATAGTTACATATAGATCTAGTTTCCTGTCTCTATACTCTTTTTACTCTGTACACCTGCTTTTTCTTTTCTCTTATCAGTGTAAAGGTCGCTTTCCGGGGAATGCCTGTGCTCAGTAGTATTCATTTGGCTCAAACAAAAACATAATAAGCTATTTAGAATGAGACACACGTTTGTCTCGTACATTTACGAAACAGGTGAATCTTCCGGTTATGAAAGTGGTCTCCACACTTTGGACCCTAGGGTGAGGCACCTAGGGATGTTGGGTAACTTTTATTTGATGTTTCATAAACACTGCGTTCTGTCTTTCGTCTGAAGAGTGGCGAGGTGTAAATTGTCACACCCTCATTCCCCCTTCTCTCTCATTGTCTGTCTGTCTGTCTGTCTGTCTGTCTGTCTGTCTGTCTGTCTGTCTGTCTGTCTGTCTGTCTGTCTGTCTCTCTCTCTCTCT